TATATTGTATTTAATTATGGGGTATCAGAGTTTTTAGGGGACTAAACAGGCTGGGATAGCTGGGATAGCAGGCTTGTTGGTTTCTGAAGGTCTGATGTAGATTTTCAGTTTCATTGTTCTGTATGAGACAATGACAATAAAGATTATCGTATTGTATCATATCGTATCATATCGTATCGTATCATATCGTATTGTACACCATCTAGAACTCCTTGGAGGAAAAATTGGTATCAGTGAAATAAAATGAAATGAAATGAATGTGATTATGATGTCTCCCCCACCTCCAGATTTTTTCCTGGCTCATTTGTGCACAGAATGAAGATGTTTCTAATTTTTCTTCTGGTTACTCTCGGAGCACAGATGTCTACAGCACAGAGACCTGGTAATTCAGTATCCTTTTAAAAAAATGTAGCATGTCATATTTTATGTTAAGATCAGTGGTTCTAAATAAACACAATTTTCACAATTTTCAATTGTGTCTATTTAAAGACGCTGGTAGCATTGAGATAAATTCAACGGTGTAAATAGGTTTTGATGGATGTAACAATGGATTATTGAATGGTTTCGTTAATGCAAAATATGCAGGGATGTATGGTATGCAAAATGAACCACGGAAAAAGAAGGGAAGTCACTGATTTAAGGTTGTCTAAATGGATATTTTGAAATGTAATTTAGAAAATTATATAAATTTTATTAAATTCTCAGTGGTCCTTACAGTCTGGTGGCAATTTAGATCATAAGCTCCTTTCAAATAGATATTTGGTAGTAGGTTTGCAGCGGGGGTGGGGAGACGGAGTTCAGGGCCGGCTCACCCATGTGGCAAGGTGAGGTGCCTCGGGCGGCAGGATTCGCAGGGGCAGCAGCAGATCTGGCCTCCAAGGAATGCATCATCCGCTGTTGCCACCACCATTGGCAGCAGGGGCCGGATCTGTTGTCTCCTTGGCAGCCCTCCCTTGATGCCATCTCTACAATAGGAGAGAATGCTGGTCTCCTCGCACTCATAGGGAGGAAATGGTCGGGTCTGTTGTTCCCTGGGCACTGCCCCCCCTTCTTTTTTTTGCCTCAGGTGCCAAAATATATTGAGCCAGATCTGGGATAGCTACATGTGAAACTTTAGAAAACTGCACATGTATAGATGGCATTATCATTGTTATCCTTAATATTAATTTATTTTTAATGGGACAAGGATTCAGGGGCAGACAACAGCAAGCCAGTTTTGTTTGCGTGTTGTGTAAATTAGGAGGGCAAAGTGTGACCGCAGGGAAATGTGAGGCATGTTATAACATTTGACGCACTTAATTCTTCAAGATCTTTTTACACTGCCCTTCATTTCTCTAGAGCAATTTACAAGAAAGACTAAAGCAATTTCAGTGTAAATACAAAGTACAATAAATTGAGGATACAAGTTCACAAGAGCAATAGATATATTGGTATTTTTCTGACACCAGAGAATATTAACAAATAAAAGAGAATTCATGATAAACTGTATAATTTTTACATATTTGGGTTCCACTTCTTTTTATTTATTTATACCCTGCAATTGTCCCAGAAAAACCAGGACAACCTATTTTTTCTCATGAGAGGAAAAAATGGTGGCCACTTTGGGCACCGTGATCTCGTGCAATTTCATGCTGTGATTTCCCACAAGAAAAGCACTTTGGGGGCCACGATCTTGTGTGGTGCCCCAAAAGGCATGTTTTGGGGCACTATGTCCCCCCAAAACACTTTGGGGAGGGGAATCATGAGAGATCACAGCACCCTAAATGGCCGCCGTCCTCTCACAAGAAAGAAAAAATGAGAAGATGGGGTCCTGGAAGATGGGGTCCCGTTTTTTTACCTTCAATTTGTTGGAAGGTATGTTTATTGTCTGTGTAAAGCCCTGATAAGCTTATGCACTAAGTTTTTATTTTCTGCTTTCTCAGCCTCTGAATCTGCAGATATTGTCCTTTTGATCGACAGCTCTGATGCCCTTGGGAGAAGGGCTTTTCCATCTGTGAAATCCTTCGTTAGCAGAATCATCAACAGCCTCCCAATTGGCCCAAACAGGTATCGAATTGCACTCGTGCAATACAGCGATGACGTGAAGGTTGAATTCCAGCTGGACAACTATAAAGCAAAGAACCCCATGCTGAACCAACTCAAAAAGGTTTCGTTCAAAGGTGGACCTTTGAGGACTGGGAATGCCATACGAAGGGTCCACGAGACGTTTTTCAGAAGCCCGAGAAAAGACAGGAGCCAGATTGTGGTGGTCACAACTTCAGCGACGTCGGATGATCCCGTGGAAGAAGCGGCAAGACGATTGAGGCAGGATGGAATAAAAATAATCGCGTTAGGAATCCAGGAGGCATTGCCTCAAGCGCTGAAGTCAATAGCTACTCCTCCATTCCACTATAAATTTGGTACACCAAGGGATCTCCTAGCGTTTTCTCAAAACATGTCTGAAGTTATTGGAAAGGCAGCACAAATGGAGATTTTCACGGCCACGCCAACGCCTGCACCTCCAAGGGTGACAGAAAGTGTCACAGGAACCGTTGGTCCTGTATCTCCAGAAGGTAAAGAAAACAAGGCAGCAGAATTTCAGAAACATGGGTCAGAAAATCCCAAACTTCCTCATAATAATTTTTATTAATTTTAACATATAAATTATAATACATACCACAAATCTTCATCATTTATACAATCTTTTTTTGGACTCCCCTCAGCACCTCTGCTGATCCACCGTTTTAACCACTTCTTATTCATTTCTTAAATTCTTATTACCTTTAATTATCATAACTAATCCTCCTCCCCTTTATCCATTTTTGCAATAAATCCAATAATACTTGTCACAAAACTTCTTGCAAACCTACAAACGTAGTCCGGTCATCACAAATACTTTTCAAATAATCTGTAAATTTATTCCAGTCTTCTGTGAATTTCTGGTCCCGCTGATTTCGAATCCTTCCTGCTGGTTTGTCCAGTTCTGCATAGTCCATTAATTTCATCCTCCATTCTTCTTTCGTCGGTAATTCTTCTTGCTTCCATTTTTGGGCCAATAACATTCTTGCTGCTGTTGTTGCGTATAAAAACAGCTTACATTCCTTTCTATTTATATCACTTCCTACAATGCCCAATAAGAATGCTTCTGGTTTCTTTATAAATGTCTATTTCAACATTTTTTTCATCTCATTATATATCATCTCCCAGAAGCTTTTCACCTTTTTACATTCCCACCACATGTGATAAAATGTTCCTTCTTTTTCATAGAATCATAGAATCATAGAGTTGGAATAGACCACAAGGGCCATTGAGTCCAACCCCCTGCCAAGCAGGAAACACCATCAGAGCACTCCTGACATATGGTTGTCAAGCCTCTGCTTAAAGACCTCCAAAGAAGGTCTTTCTTTACATTTCCAGCATTTATTACTAACTTTATACATTTTAGCTAATTTGACAGGTGTAATATACCATCTATGCATCATTTTCATCACATTTTCTTTTAAGGCATTGCATGCAGTAAATTTTAAACCTTCTTTCCATAATTTTATCCAATCACTCAGCTGTATATTATACCCAAAATCTTTAGCCCAATGAATCATAACCGACTTTACCTCTTTATCCTTCAAATGCCATTCAAGCAGCAATTTATACATTTTGGACAAAATTCAGAAAATCCCAAACTTGGACCGCATTCGCACCAAACTTTGGGAGCGCTATGATACCACTTTACATTGCCGTGGCTTCCCCCCAAAGAATTCTGGGAGCGGTAGTTTGCTAAGGGTGCTGAGAGTTGTTGGGCGACCTCTGTTCTCCTCACAAAGTTAAAAGTCCCAGCCTTCACTGGGATGAAGGATCGGTTGTTAAATCACTGCAGGAATTGTAGCTCTGTGATGGAGACTAAGCGTCACCTAACGACGCTTTGAGCCTTAACAAACCACAGTTCCCAGAATTCTTGGAGGTGGGGGAACCATGACTGTTGAAAGTGGTGTCATAGTGCTTGAAATGTATGATGTGAATGTTTCCTAGACAATACATTAACTTCACGTATATATCTAATGTGTCATGTTAGTATTTTTAAAAATGACGCTGGGGCGGCAGTGTGAGGGCACGAGGGACAGTACATTCATTTGCCAGAGGGAAAAAGAGGCGAGCAATCTATTTCATCTCTGTGGGTCTCCAGCAAGGGCAGGATCATGTAGCGTACTTCGGCGACAAAAAATCAAATAGAGAAACTTAGCTACTGTCTTGGTGAGCTCCTGGTCTCTCCCCTGTAATAAGAAGCGTATAACCTCTGTCTCTGGTTTCCATGTTGGAATACATTTTGTTGTTGTTGTTTAGCCGTGTCCGACTCTTCGTGACCCCATGGACCAGAGCATGCCAGGCACTCCTGCCTTCCACTGCCTCCCACAGTTTGGTCAAACTCATACTGGTAGCTTTGAGAACACTGTCCAACCATCTCGTCCTCTGTCGTCCCCTTCTCCTTGTGCCCTCCATCTTTCCCAACATCAGGGTCTTTTCCAGGGAGTCTTCTCTTCTCATGAGGTGGCCAAAGTATTGGAGCCTCAGCTTCAGGATCTGTCCTTCCAGTGAGCACTCAGGGCTGATTTCCTTCAGAATGGATCGGTTTGATCTTCTTGCAGTCCATGGGACTCTCAGGAGTCTCCTCCAGCACCATAATTCAAAAGCATCAATTCTTCGGCGATCAGCCTTCTTTATGGAATACATAGATGGTCTAAGAATTGTTGGCGGAGATCATCGTACATTTTACATTTAAGGGCCATGTGAGCTAGAGTTTCCACCAGGTGGGTATCGCATGGGCAGATCCTATCTCCTTCTGCCATACCCGCAAACCTACCCCAAAGGAGGTTAGAAAGATTAGAATTGAACCTAGCCAGCAAAAAAGCCCTTCTTTCTTGCGGGTTAAACAAAAATTGTAAATAATTAAGGTTAAATTCCTGCGCCCAAAAGAGTCGAAAATAAAGAGGGGAACATGTTTTTTCCGCAGCTGAGATTAGTTCCTGGCTCTCTTCGGCAGCACATATACTAAAATTGGAACAGTACAGAGAAGATTAGCATGGCCCCTGCACAATGCAAAACAAATTAATCCATTCCAGACTTTTAAAAACAACCCCTAAAACAGCAATTTAACATGAATTTTACTATCTAACGAGACTTTTGATCAATCAATCAGTAGCTGAACTGGGTTCACACAGTCACAAAAACAAATGAACCAAAAAAGCCTCAAAAGCAAAAACGCAAAATAAATAGCAAAAATAAAAGTGCTAAGCTTAATCCGTTCCGGAAGTCCCTTTGACTTCCAAAATGTTTGAAAACCAAGGCACAGCTTCTGATTGGTGCAGGCGCCCCGGAAACAATAGCTGACAGCCGCATCGGATGTTCGGCTTCCAAAAAGTGTTCAAAAACCAGAACACTTATTTCTGGGTTTTCAGCGTTTGAGAACTAAGGTACCACTTTAGTTCCATTTCAATAAATGAGCATAGCTAAGTTAGGTCCATTAATGTCGATGGGTCTGCTCTTGAAATTTAGCTGGATATCACCCCAGGTGGAAATGCTCCAACTATTTATTCAAAGCTGCAGGGCAGAAATCTCTGACTTATAAGAAGAGCAGGAAAAAAGCTTGGCGGAATAATGTCCTGATTGCTGATTGTCTTGGCCTGAATCAGCGAGACTTTTTGCCAGCACAGCATGTCTAATCCCCTCTCTCAGACTTTGCATCCAACAGTGAAAGCATTTTCCTATCAATCCTCTCACACTTCCCTTAATGTTTGTCCCTTAAAGAGACACTGCACAACTCACCTGGCTCTTTCTTAGGAGAATGGAACTGGTCTCCCTGATAAGAAATCTGAAAGGTAACTCGGGGGATTTGAACCTTTCAGGCATATGGTGAAAAGCAGATTCGCAATTATCCTATTAGCTTGAAAAACAATCTGCAACTGTTTGTTGCCATCAGAATGCTAGCAGAGGTGGGGGCAGAGGCAGGAGGGGGGCAGAGGCTGGACACCCACAGCAAAAAAAATTGTGGGTCCCCGGGTCCCCAGGACCCCCTGGAGAAGGTACCAGTGGGGCTGGCTACCCATTTTCTGATATCTTGCTGACCCCTATCCTTCCAAGAGAGAGCAACTTGATTCTCTTCCTGGTGGAGGGAGGGGGGGTTCAGCAAGTCTCTCCCCCCTAATGGCAGGAATGGCTTTGCTAAGCACATTCCCAAAGCAGTTCAGGAGACGGTGAATGCCTAGGACTGCTGAGTATTCTTTGTGCACTTAAGAAACTTTAGCAAACAAACTGTGCGGTGGGGAGGTGGATTACTAACCATAGCTGTCAACTGTCCCTTATTTGGCGGGAAACTCCCTTATCCCAGCGCCATGTCCCGCTGCTGTCCCTTATTGATGATGTCCCTTAAATTTCCTGGGTTTCAAAGGAAGCAGCTCCTCTCCCTCCCTCCCTACCGGCCAGGGAGGAGGGAGGCTCCAACTGTGTTGCTTGGCTGCGTTGCTCACCCAAGAAGGAGTCTAAGAACGACTGGGGGGTGGAGCTTGCATGCCTTGTGCCGATCAAATCAGCCGCGTTGCCTCGGGTCTCACCTTTGCTCAGCGCTTCCCAGCGGAGAGGTGACGGTGGTTTTCCTTGCTGCATCCCCTTTGCCAGGTTGCTGCGCTGTGGGAACCACTGCTTGAGGCTTCGTTTGGCTGCTGGCTGGGCTTTCTGCCTTTGGCTTGGAGGGGCTCAGAAGTTTTAGCATACCTGTGCCTGGAAAATCCCTTATTTTGGCTGCTGATCCCTTATTTTCGAGGCTGCTGGTCCCTTATTTTCAAATCTGTAAGTTGACAGCTATGTTACTAACGCTGTGCTATTTCCCCCTCCCCCCAGCTCTGACGTGCCATGAGGACTCAGTTGCAGACGTCGTATTTGTTGTGGATGAGGGTGTTTCACAGGCGAATGCTGAATATATCAGAGAGTTCTTGCAGAACACAGTAAACTCTCTCGACGTGAAGGAAGCGTGCATAAGGATGGGCATCGTGACGTACAGCACGGAGGCCAAAGTATTAACTTCTCTGAGAGACGAAACGAAGAAAACGGACATTCTTCAGAAAATTAGGAGCTTTTCCCCTAAAGAAGGGAAATCTCATTTGGGTGCTGCCATTAATATGACCACAAAACGTGTTTTTGCCGACAGGAGAAGGAGTGTAGAGAAGGTAGCCACCATTATCACCCACAGGCCCTCGGATGATGATATAAGAGGGGCAGCTTCTCTCATTAGCAGGGCTGGTGTGACTGTCTTTGCCATCGCCACTGAAAGAGCAGACGCCGCTCAGTTGACTCAGATTGTGTCATATCCGTCAGAACCGAATATTATCAAACTGACAGAATTTTCCGACCTGCCCAGACAGGACAAGACGTTTCACAAGAAACTCTTCAACCAAATAAAAGGCAGACTCTATGTCCAACCTGAAATGAAAAAACAGCTCAAATCAGGTAAAGACATTGACGCAATCTGGTCCTAGCTTCGGTCTTTCAGCTCTTTGTTTTGAGGTTTCAAATATAATATAATAATAATAATTTATTATTTGTACCCCACCAATCTGGCTGGGTTTCCCCAGCCACTCTGGGCGGCTTCCACAGAGACCAAAAATACACTAAAATGTCACACATTAAAAACTTCCCTAAACAGGGATGCCTTAAGATGTCTTCTGAATGTCAGGTAGTTGTTTGTCTCTTTGACATCTGAAGGGTGGATGCCACTACTGAGAAGGCCCTCTGTCTGGTTCCCTGTAACCTCACTTCTCGCAATGAGGGAACTGCCAGAAGGCCCTCGGTGCTGGATCTCAGTGTCCGGGCTGAACGATGGGGGTGGAGGCGCTCCTTCAGGTATACAGGACCGAGGCCGTTTAGGGCATTAAAGGTCAACACCAACACTATGAATTGTGCTCGGAAACGTACTGGGAGCCAATGCAGATCTCTCAGGACCGCTGTTATGTGGTCCCGGCGGCCACTCCCAGTCACCAGTCTAGCTCCTGCATTCTGGATTAATTGCAGTTTCCAGGTCACCTTCAAAGGTAGCCCCACGTAGAGCGCATTGCAGTAGTCCAAGCGGGAGATAACTAGAGCATGCACCACTCTGGCAAGACTCTGAAAAGACCACTGAACTGTGAAAAACTAACCTGTATAAATGTTTTCTCCTTTCTCCTTTTTTTTTTTAAAAAAATATATATTCTGCCTTCATTTTTTTTAACATTCTGCCTACCATATTTTTGATACCACAAACTCTGTCTGCATTTGGCCCTCTGCCTACATAGCTTTGAATACTATCATGGAAGCCCAATGCTTATCTTTCGGGTCCAACGTGAGGATGGGGAACTTGTGGCTCTCCGAATATTGCCTAACTACAACTCCCACCATCCTCGTCCACTCACCATGTTGACTGAGGCTTATGGGACTTGGGAGTCCAGCAACACTGGAGGGCTGCAGGTCCCCACCCAGACTGTGTTGAATTGACCTCTACTGACATAAAATCTCTCTATATTCTTGTAGGATGTATGGAGACAGAAAGGGCTGATATTTATTTTCTCCTTGATGATTCGTCAAGCATTCATGTTGATGACTTCGAGAAGATGAAGAATTTTGTGAGGAATGCTACTAAGCTGTTTACTATAGGACCTGATAATGTTCGATTTGGAGTTGTTCAGTATTCAAAAAATACTATCGTACCAATTAGACTTGGTCAGCACACCACCCGCATCAGTTTAGAAAAAGAAGTGAATCGTATCGGACATAGAGCACAACCAGAAACAAATACAGGAGCAGCTATAAATTACACACGGACATTGTTTAAGGAAGCAAGACAACAGTGTCGCGGCAATGTTCCCTGCTATCTCATTGTGCTGACGGATGGGGAAGCACGTGATGACGTGAAGGTAGCTGCTCAGCTACTGAGACAGGCAAATGTCAACATTTACGCCATTGGAGTGAAAGACGCCATCAAAGAAGAGTTGTTTGATATTGCGGGCTCAGCGTCAAGGGTTTACTTTGTGCAACAGTACGAAGCCTTGGAAAAAATAAAAAATGTTGTTTTTCGGGACATATGCAATGAAAAGGGTAAAGAGAAATTCCCTTGGTAATTCTTTCCATAAACAGAATAATAATAATAAAATAATATTTTTTTATTTATACCCCACCCATCTGGCTGGGTTTCCTCAGCCACTCTGGGCAGCTCCCAACAGAGTATTAAAAATACAATAAAACATCAAACATTAAAAACGTCCCTAAACAGGGCTGCCTTCAGATGTCTTCTAAAAGTCAGATAGTTGTTTATTTCCTTGACATCTGACAGGAGGGAGTTCCACAGGACGCCACCACTGAGAAGGCCCTCTGCCTGGTTCCCTTTAACCTCACTTCTCGCAGTGAGGAAACCACCAGAAGGCCCTTGGAGCTAGACCTCAGTGTCCTGGTTGAATGATGGGGGTGGAGACGCTCCTTCAGGTATACTGGGCCGAGGCCGTTTAGTGTTTTAAAGGTCAGCACAACACTTTGCATTGTGCTCAGAAACCTACTGGGAGCCAATGCAGGTCTTTCAGGACTGGTGTTATATGGTCTCGGTGGCCACCCCCAGTCACCAGTCTAGCTGCTGCATTCTGCAAGGACGGGGAGCCACTACAGAAAAGGCCCACTCCCATGTTGCCATTCTGGATTAGTTGTAGTTTTCGAGTCAATGCTGTCAAGCAAACCCAAGTCCTTGCATCAATATTTTCATGAACATTTATTGCTTCCAGAACCTATTTTCTGGTTGGAACTACTAGACACTACAGGGTATGCAACTTGTAGGCTGCTTCCGTGACTGCATGCTGTGAAGCAGTTTACTATTATTTGTAAAATAAATTTAAAAAATTAACTCAATTTGGGAAAAGGGGGTGCAATTTCCTGCTCCACCTCAAGCAACAAAATGTCCTCGATCTGACCTGCTTTAACATGTTTCTTTTCTGCTGAATTTGGCCTAATTCAAATGTATTTCTCTTAACCGGAGCAATCCTTGCTTTTCCTTCCACAGCCTGTGAGGGGAGGAAGGTTGATGTCATGTTCCTAGTGGACAGCTCTGGTAGCATAA